AGCCAAGTGTGATGTAGCAAGATTTTGAGTCTAGAATGGTTTTGAGGTTAATTTACAGGTAACTGGATTAGCTAAGCCCAGGCTTTGAATACGAGATGCTGCTGTGCTCTTATCCAAATCCTAGCAGGGACTTAAACTCTCACAATGCTCAGTAAGATATAACAAGGCACTGCACAAAGCAGATACAGTTGAGGACACTTAACACTTCTAGCTGAAAATTCCCCTTTTCTAAGAGATAATTAATCAGTTTTCCCTCTTTTTTTATTTTTCTCAAATTTGGCATTATGCAGCAATTTCTCTTCCGTGAAGCATCCCTCCCTCCTCTCCAGCACACACTGGGTTTTAATGAGTTTGGCCATTTGTTAGCTGGAGAGAGCCAAAAAAATGTCTGCTTTCAGATGCTTTCCTTTTTTATTCTTTTTTCTTTTGTTTTCATGGCGCTGGATGAGGCTCTGGGAAGGGGAAGTGGGAATGAGGCATTTAAGTAGGCCTTGGTTTATGCATTAAAACCTAACTAAACCTGGGGTTCTGCTGACCCAGGGTACTTTTAATTCAGTACATTCATAGAGATTTTTGACACCCCATTTGAACATCAGCAGGTAGCTTTTATATTTGTGAATTCTGTCTCAAGATCACCTTGTAATGTGCTCCCTTCATGGTAAAATCTTGCGTTAGTAGCCCACAGAGATGAAGGTGTTGTCATGTGCAATCCTCTCACAAGTCTTTAATTCTTGTCCCAGTTAAAAAAGTTAAAGCCCATGGCATCATGGCATGGAATACCACATCATGCCATGACATCATGTGGAATTGTTCAAAAACATGCAGGTGTGGTGTATGGTTTAGTGGTGGACTTGGCAGCGGTGGGTTAATTGTGGGACTTGATGTTCTTTCCAACCTAAATGATTCTATGACTCTCTGGGCTTCCCATTGCCTCTCATCACTGCAGAGCTCTTACACTGGAAGTTCACTAACACAAGGAGGGTTGGATTTCTGTGTTTTCTCAGTCATACTCTGTGGGAGAGGGTGTCTTGCACTGTTGCAGAGCAGGGCACATTGCAGTGATATAGTGTTACACAACAGCGTGAGGCAATCAGGAAATTTTACATCATCCCAAACCCTTCACGTAGAGATTGCAGGGGGTGCCACTGAAGAAAGTCTGCATGCCTGGAAAATTATCTCAGTGCAGCCTCTGTGCTGTGGAGGACTGGGAAGACACAAATGAAGCCCAGCAGATGCCGAGATCTCGGTTCAGACTGTAATCACTGGTCACCAGTGAGGTTCTGGCAGAGCCCAGGACCCTGCTGTGCAAGATGCTGTGCAAACACACAGCTGGAGAAGCTGCCCATGCTCCACAAATCTTCCCATTCTGGTGCTGGACTTTCTTCAGTAGCTGCATTTCTTAGTGTGAACTGGTGATGCCAGAGGTGAGGCCCCTTTCCTCTCTGTCATAAGCTTGCATCTCCTCCCTGCCAAGCTTGGGAGCAGCTGCTCATGTGGTGTGTGGTTAAATGGATTGGAGAAATAATCCAGGTTTATGCAAAATGAACAGAAGGGGGAAAAGCGAAAGAAAAAATAAAAAGGAAAACCAAATATTTAATCCCCTTATCCTCTCCTTGCTGCCATCTGGCAGAAGATTTCTTTAATTTTCTCTGTTCAGACCCCCCAATCTAATGGTGATATCAGTTGTGCCACACCTGAAAGGCTCCGTCCTAAAGGTGGCTGTATTTCACAGCTGAGTATTTGTCCTTACTCTGGATACACAATCCCTATTATCTTCAAGGAGAGTTTCTGATTTGGATGTGCCTCTCCAGCCAGAACAAAGCTCAAAGCATGAGAAGCCACAGCTGAGGCTCTGAGTCCTGAGTCAGACTGCCTAACCAAGGTGTCAGGCTGGAAATGTCAGGAGTACTGTGAAAATGTCAGGACTACTTCACTGCCTGCTACAGGAAAAGAGGAAGACAGGGCACCTTTGGAAGGCAATTTTTATCTTAAATGGACTGACTCTCATTCTTAGGGATTTTAGTCCTCCTAAAGCCTACAGTGCCCCAAAGCCTTGTTTATGTACCTTCATAAAATGCTTGAAGTTAAGTTATATGTGTTCCTAGATGTGTACATTAATGTAGTGCTGCTGTTAAAAATGAATTCAAGATACAAAGTGAGATGAATATTTAATTTCTGTGTATAAGCACTTCTGGAGAAATGCAGAAATTCTCTGTAAATAATATTAGTATTAACAACCATCCTTTCAACTTATTTCAAATGTTTCCTTGCAATACATCAAAGCTTTTCTTCCCAAATATACATTTTATAATTACTGTAATGCAATAGGTGTTAAAAAACCAAAAAAGGTTTTTCAAAATCACCTCTGCGCAAAGTGGTTTTTCAGTTTTATATTAGTATAGTCTATTTGGAAAGGTTTTGGTTCTGGCAGAAGAGGAAGGATTGGACTTTTAATTCTAAAGCAAAAATGTTGCAGATGGTGGGACCTTGTGGTATCTAGCCACCTTTGGATTTCATGCAAATATTTAGGGAAAAATTCTGATAGGGTAAGCCAAAGAGTAATCAGATGTTAAAGCTCTTCCAGATGATGGAATTTCAACATTTGTCTCCTGAGCACTCTGCAAAATTTCTGTCTCCCTGCTGCAATAAACTGCCGATATCTGGCAATCTATTTTGGATGAGGATGGCATTTAATTCCAGTTCCTTCACTGGGAGCTAATTCCTTATTCAGATTAATGTATTTTAGCTCTTTTGCAACTGTCTAATAATAATTTCCAAAAAGAGTTTTTCAAAGCCCTGTCAGAGATTTGGAGTGAGAAAAAGTTGCAATGGACTTGAGAAGGAACCTAGATTTTCCCTGTGAAATTATTCTGGGAGGTTATTCTTCTCATGTCAGTGCACACACAGATTATTCCCTAGGATTTTTTGGAAAATCTTCACGTGATATGAGCCTTTTCTCTAAAGATCTCTAGATTCAGCATTTCCTCCTGCTTACACAAATTTCATGGAACTGTTTTTGGGGTAATTTGAAATAAAAGTATAGTGGCCTTCACCTTACCTAATTTTAACCATCTGAAAGGGTAATGCATAATACGAATATTATTGCTCTGGTCTATGATGTCTCTGAATAGTGACTTTCTCCGGTCCTAATGTAGATGTTCAGAGAAACTGAAATTAATTACTCCTGCAGGTTCACCCTTCTATCCTCTGGTTGCACATTTGGCTCACATTAGATTAGATGCTGAATGGAAAATGGCTTTTAGAGGAAATACGTGTGTTTATATTGTGACTCTCTGCATGAGCACCCACAAATTTCTCCACCACAGACCCTCATTGGAAGGGTCACAGCCTGGCTCTGAAGACCAGACGAGATCCCATCCACTGCAGCAAAGGCCCTGACATTATGAACAAAAAGAGAAGAAATGGCCTGACTCCACAATTCTTTTCACAAACATCACCAGCCATTTCCTAGACAATAGTTCTGTGATCATGCTCAACTTGGAGAAAAACTAGGATAGGATCCAGCTGAATATTTCATAACTATCCTGTTAAACTAAGTTTTAGAACTGTCTGGTACCATAATTTTTCCCTGGCACAACCAGAATACAATTAAGAAATGACAAAATTCAACAGGGACAAAATGGAGCCAATTTTTGACATTAGAGGTATGAGGATTTTCAAATTTGAAGTGCTGTGAAACAATCAAACAATGCACAACATGGCAAAAGGACTTTTACAAATCATCCAAATCCAAATCAAATCACCCATCAAAAATTCACAGTCAGCACAAAACTCCAGAAGAGGACTTGTTTCATTCTAGAAAGGAACAAAACAAAAGGAACAAAGAGAAGCAAAATTCCATCAAGACTTCCCTGACAATTTAATGCTTCCTCTGCAGCCTCCAAAGCCCTGTTCAAGCTCTACCCAGGGAACTGTGTGTCCTGCTGAGCTTGATCTGCAAGAAGGTGAAGCAGGAAGGAGAACATCGAGTACTGAAATGTCTGTCCTTGCAAAGCAGTGTCAGAGTTGGAGTTAAAATAAGTGCCTTTTCTCTGGGGGCTGCAAAACTCCAACTTCAACATCAACTTTGTCTTTGACCTTGGTCATGTTATTTAAGTGCTGCACCTTCACTTTGAGATTGGCAGAACTCAGCTAACATGAATCAGTTTCAAGGGAGGATCCTATGTTACCCTTTGGGTACCCACATGCAAAGAAAGCTCTTCAAAAAATGTTATTATTTTCTGCTCAGCTTTCTAACTGCTCTGGATCTATCTGTATAAATTCTGTGACTCAGCTGCTGCTGACATGTCCTTCTTGCTTAATATTATCTGTGAACTTCACTTCTGTGCAATTCAATTCCATTTCCTGATAATTAATAGAGATGTTAGATGAGACCAGACCTAACACAAATTCTCCAGATACCCTGCAAGATACCTTCCATAAACTTGTTACATTATCATTTATCATGATTCCTCATTTACAATCTTTCAGCCTGTTTCCAACCCAAATGACTGATTTCCCATCCAAGTCAATCTGAATTAATTTCTCTATTAGGGTTTCCTCATAATCCTGCACCAGCCAGGAAATGGGTTAGACTGACCTTATAAACTTTTTATGTGTTTGACCTCTTGATGTTACATGAAAGAGTCTCATAAAACTCCAGCAGCTTTTTGAATTTCTCCAGCAGCACCACAGCCCTCCTTTATGATGGGAAAAATCAATGTAAAGGAGAAGTCACAGCAGAATATGAATTCTTGAATGCATAGCCCTGCACCAAAACCACCATCCCACACCCCAAACAGCTCCTTTACCAAACACCTGGAAAGTTGTCCTTTGTGTTCGCTTTATCCTCATTGAAGAGGCTGTGGGAAAAGCCAATTCAAATGGTTTAGGCATTTGAGGTTTTTTTAGCTTCATCCTGGGCTATTCCCTATCCTGGTTATCTTTTATTTAGCTGCTCTAAAGGAAGTGAAAACACATCCCATTCTGCCTTATTTTTCTTTGTTATTTTTACTATTTTAAAATGCAATCAGGTTTTCCACAACAGAAGTATCAGAATAGTTCCTAAAGGAGCTTTGTTCAGATCTGTTAAGTAGTGACAAATGATCTGTTTTAACTTGCCTTTTGAGGTGAATATTGTGATGAAAAAACCATGGATCATATGTAATTACAGAATTTGACATTTATATAAGACAAATTTCCTTTCAAGGATGTCCTCCTTCTCCCACTTCTAAAATCTGATAATTAAGGAAAGAAGATGGTAAAAGTCATAAGGATGCAGGGTTTATTCTTTTAGGAGTATAAAAAAAACCCCACCCTTTTCTTTAATGGAATTCCCAAAACCAAAAATGAAATGCTTTATGAGACCAGGGGAGTTCTTAAGCTTGTCAAGCTTGTGAAATTTATTTTGGGGTATGTACCTAAAGCCTAATGCTTGTGCTAATCTTGAAGCCTGGGGATAGAAAAGAGTGGAGAGACATTTGTAAATCTTCAAAAATGTTTGCATTTCTCTGCTGGTGTCCCAAATTTCTATGCCATTTACCATGACAAATCTGTTGTGCACCAACTGGGTGACCAGTGTTTTCTACATTCAGTTGGGAAATCAGTCATGGACAGGAAAATTAAGGTTAGTTAAAAAAGAAACAAAACTGTAAGAATGTTTATTGCCACATATTCCACCCACTCCTAAAGAGAAGTGGGTTTGTCATCTGGATGCAAAAGTCTACATGGTGAAATCTCTTTTGGGGGATGTTTTGTGCTTATCTGTGAATAAAACCTTACTCGAAGAGTCAAGAACATGAACAAACTGAACTGTGAATTTTAGGGGGGAAAATGCACATGAATGCATGTTGCATCTACTTGGCACTGAATTTGTTAATGTATTTGTTAATGTATTTGTTTAATGTATTAAAATCTGCTCTAAGAAATCATCCTGGAAAATGGTTAGGAAAAAAGTGATTTATATTTAAGTCACAGATTCTGTCAAAGAGATGGAATTGCATAATGAAATACTGCTAACAACATCTTTCTTCTTAATGAACTGCACAATTTTTTACAAACTAGACTGTCTTGGAAAACTGGAAGCCAGGATCACTTGTCCCATCGATACAGTGGCTTGGTCTTCAGTGTAAAACTGCATTAACGAGAGCCAGAGCATCCTCCTGGTGGGTAAATTTGTCTGCAGGGGCACTGGGCTGTGTCCTCAACCAGCTGGGTGAGTTTCTTTTGCTGTGATTTTCCTTCCCTAAAGTTTGAATACAGGAAAAAATTCCTCTTAAAGTGACTTTGGTTTTTTTTCCTCCTTTATTTTCTAATCTGAAGTATAATGTGACAGAAAAATATTTTTGGAAAAATTTTGAAAGACTACCTAGTATGACCCTTTTAATACAAAAAAACAGGAACATTTTGTTAGGGGCATGTCAAAATGAAACAGTGGGAACCTGCCCTTATCCTTCAATCCTTCAAAATGAAATTAGGGGCACGGTGGACATTGTTTCAAAAATGTTTTTGGTTTCAAGAGTACTTGAAATTTCAGATAGAAATTTCAGATAGGTATTTCAGCTAGAAAAATATGCAGCTGAAGATTTTTGGGCCAGCCAGGTCATGCATGATTTAGTCCAGCTAATTCAGCATTTAGAACAGAAGCAGCAAAACCCTCCGTGGCCATTGCTGAATCGTAGCACCCTTTAGGAAGCTGTTGACGCGTGTGCAAAAATGCACCATGCATGTGGCAAGAATAACACCTGCCCATCAGGCTGACAACCCTCGTGTAACACTGGTGGAAACAGTTACACAAAGTGTAAGAGAAACAAGACCCTGTTGTACACAAGTGCAGCTCTTCTGTCTTGTTTCAGTGCCAAACTTGGGCACGAGGGTTCAGTGCCTCAGAACCAGCCCTGTACGTGCTGTTTATCCTTACAGATTGGGAGAGATGCATGTCAGGTTTGGACTTCCCTGGAACTATTGTGGAACTCCTTAACGAGGCCTCCCAGGTGTCCCACCATTAGCACAAGGAAATAAGTGTGGCAGGCTGGAGATGGATCTTTAATCCCCCTTGCTCACACTGCATTGCACTAGGAATCTCAGTGGTGTGTGTTGCCTTCAAAGATGTGGGGCAGGAAGGCAAGACTGCCCTTTACCTTCTCAGATGCCCTCAGCACAGACAAGCAGGATTTAGGGCTTGTGTAATTTTTAAAGAAGAATTGTTCTGCAAGACACCAAAATATTTGCCATCATACGTACTCAGGAAATGTTACACACATGTAGTGCCAACTAATTTTTTAGCTATGGATCATTATTAGACCAAAACTCTCTCCAAATTAGCCAGCTAGTGACATGCCAGTCTCACAACCCATGTTCACCCAGCAGTTCCCTGTCTGTGATGCCAGTTTGCTGGCAAGAGTGGACTGGAGGAGTGTGTTTGGTGGCAAAACATAAAACTGGGGAGAAAAGCTAATCTGGCCAACTCACAGCTGTGAAGGTTCTCAGGTATCTTGCAGAGCTGCTGCTGGGCATGCAGGAATGCTGTTGTGTAGGAATTGCCTACCAATGTATGAGTGGTTCTAAGGAGAAGAAAAAAAAACTTAAGCAAAATGTCATACCAGAACTGCCACCAGAAATGATTGCAAGTTTGCCCTTGAGCTGATCCTACAGTAAATCTTTTTAGATGGAAATCTTCCCGCTGTCACCAGCTCTCCCTTGCTAGTGTCATCAGAGATCTCCAGCATTTCACCTTAAGCTCCTGCTCTGGAGTGGCCTGATCAGTGTAAAAGTGAGGCCAATTCACACCAGGGCTAGGGCAATGACATGTGCCACTGCATGTGAGCATCTCTGCAATGCTCAGGAGCTCGGTCACTGCTCTCTCCCTTTGTAGAATGCTTCACAGCCTCACTTCCAAGAACTTCCTTTACTGTCTATTCCCCACATGAGCACCTTGCCCCTTGGTAGGTAGGAAAACAGAGAACAGGACAAATGCAGTCAGAAAAAGAGGTATAAAAGACTTCGTAGCTCGCTCCTTCAGCCTCTCGGTGTCATCCCCTCTCCTTTCCATCACTCAGAGTATCTGCTTTCCTACAATGTTGAAGACTTTCTTTTGTATTTGAAGCTGTTTTACAGCTGAAGTCTCAGCCACATCTCACTGTTTGCAGTATGAAGGGGCAGTGGATGCAGGGCCTGCATAAATTAAAAGCTTTCAATACAAATGCAAGATCACGGTTTCCCCAACTCGATTGACTTCTCTTGGAGAACCAGTCAGCGGGTTCTTTTGTAATAACCATTGCAGAGAGATCTTTTATCTCAATGTCTGAAGAGGTTTAATATGGATTTTGCTCTTAGATTACTGTCTTCCAAATGCCTACCCCAGCCTTACCTACATCATTGTTTGCCAACTAAGATATGCCTGTAAATGCATACCCACATAAGCATAAAGGATGATAAATAATTTAAGAACGTCTCTTTGGCCTTATTTATCAATCTAATTTTGTCCTTACGAGATTCCTCTCACTTCTACCACAGAATAGAAGTGGTATATCCTTATAATAGAATATATAACATCTCCTATCCTCTCCATCTGGGCATATGTCACGTCTTCTTTTCTAATGTTAATAAATTTTATTCTTCTGCCTTGCTTGGTGGTACTTGAATTTGTTTTATTCTTGTTACAGATATCAAGAATACACATCTGTTGTAAATCTGAAGACAGAAGTTCAGATCCCTCCAAGAGCTCACACAGCCAGTACAGTAGGGGGCTACAAAGACCTTTTGGGAAAACACAGGGATGACTGTTATAAGAAGATACCATGCCAGTGTAAAAACATTTGCAAGCCTTAACCAAATATTTAATAATATTCAATGTAAAGGAAATAAATGGCTTTTTATGTCCACCGAGGACTGTCTTTTTTAGGGAAAATGGCAAAGTTCTACTGGGCTTTCTCCTTTTGGCAAGCAGATGACATCCACCCCAGGGATCCCCAGGGATGAGCCATTATTACTAGCAGAAGGGTTTTGTAATTGCATCTTGCTCTTCTCTCCTCCTAAACAACCTTCCAGTTGCTTCTTTATTATTATTCACATCAAGGCCTGGCACTGCACAAAAGGCCATGTCCTCCTGTAAGTGCTGACAAAACTAAAAGTGGAATAGCTGGGAGGGGAAGGCAACCAAGGTCATCCAAAAGGTCAATGGAGAATATTTTCTTTGCAGTCTTCTATATGGCCAGAACTCTCAGTTGCTGGATGGGAAGGAAGGAGCCCCACACCCAAGGAACTTGCTCTCTACACTCCTGGTCAGCTGAAGGTGGAATGTCCCTCAGAGATTGACAAGGAACATTAAGTTCTGAACTGAAGTTCAGTTCAAAAAGAGCACCCAAACACTCATTTTTTCCTTGCTTGGTCTCTGCTGCCTTTCTGCTGTTTGTTTACATTGGAATGGCTTATCTGTACATGTTAACCCAGTTTCATGTTCCCAGTGCAGTCAGGGCTCATAGTCTGGCCTTGCTTTACAGGAGAGTGTTAACTTAATGCTTGGCTGTCAGAGCCAACACAGAGACCCTTCCTAATGTACTAAGCAAAGGGAGGAGTGAAGAATTTTTCTAAAAATGCAAGGAAATTCTAAATTTCTTGCCCAAACTGAGCAGATGGGCTGCCTAATCACATCTTCAAAAGCTGATATCTACAGAGACATCTCCCAGCAAAGGCACAGCTCCACCAGCCCATCCAGGTGAGGAGGGTCAGGAGCCCTCCCCAGTGCTGCTGGACAGTATGGAAACACAGTTGGAAGAGTAGAAGTGTCTTTTTATTTTTTTTTTCCCCCAAATTAGTTTCCCAATCTGTGAGCCAGAAGATGCTCTTATGCTTCAAACATTTTCCACTTGCTTTCATGCTACTGAGCAGCTATTCTGAGCTCAGCCTGCCCATCCTGTCTTCATCTGCGATGCTGAGATGAAAACTATCTGCAGCCTCCAGCCTCCCTCTTCTGATCTTCTCCCTGAACATGTTTTATTATTTTTCTTTGACTTGGTAGATTTTAACAGCCACAGAACACTTCACAAAATCCTGAACCACATGCTTGGGTTGGAACAGGTGGTATCACAAAAGGGTGCAGAGCCACATTGCTTCTGAAGAAGCATCTGCTTGTTTGAGTTAGGGCAATCTTGCACTCTAACTGAATTTACTGCAGGGACAATCAGTTTGTGGATATTGTTGGTGCATAGATGCCTACTCTGATGGAAGTGGGCTCTGGTTTCATATTTTCTCTGTCCCATAGAAGTGTCCCCCTCAGGGACATCTGAGGAGGGATTAATCTTAGAGCAGTCAGAAAGACTCCACAAATGCAAATGGAGCAAGACTCATTTGAAAGTACAGCTGTTAATGCGAGAAAAATTGAGAATCTGGCCAGTAGCAAAACTGCAATTAGAGGTTTCAAGATGTTAAGTGAATGTAAGTAATGCTTCAGCTTAAGCAAGAGCAGACTCAATATCCAGCTGATGTGTTTATCACAAATGTGGTAATAGAGATTTCTGGTTTATTGGCTGCTATTTTGCCTAGTGTTCATAAATGACTGATGCTTAATTAATTGAAGGCAATATTACAGGAACCAATCTGCTGACAAAGGTTTTTTTAAACCAGCAGTTGTCATATTTATTTTGAACTCAGACAGGGAAGTTCTCAGTTATTATCTTTTCTCAGACAAAGTAGCAAATAAACATGAAAGGCAACAAAGAAACAATAAAGATGAAATACCTGAAAAAAAGTTTTTATAGTTTTCTTTTTTTCCCTTCCATACAAAGACTGTGTTCAGAAATAACTTCTATTATTTTTATCTGGAGCTTTTTTGGCTTTTCCTGGAATAGGACAGAAAATTTTCTTTGGTTATAGGTGAATCGGGGTCAAAAAGCAATCTCTTCCCTCATATTTCATGGTACACAAGAAGTAATCCTCAGGTAATCAATAATTCTGTTTATACCAACAAATAAACTGTGCCTCAGACCACATTCTGGCCCTGAGGCAGAGGCACAATGTGCTCACTTCTAAGAACACCACACACCATTATCAGCAGAATGGAGCGGATTTACTGATCTGGAGTGGACTCTTTCCTATGCTGTCTCCCAAGTCACACACAGTCACTGTTCTGGAAGTCCCAGCTGACCAAAACAATGCTGATATTTGCCAAAACTTGAGATTTAACAGTTTGATGACTGATGGAGAGCGCTCAGCACAGATTTGTCCAGTCTGTGCAAGTTAGGGCACAGTCCAGACCCCAAGCACAGGAGCATTTTTTTATGTCCTGAACTGAGGAAAGCATGAGCAATGTTTCTCCAGGAAGTATTTCAAAAGTCTTCATCAAGACTTCATATACCCAGCTTTGTTTTCCTGCTTTGCCACGGTCTATCTGCATGACCTTGGGCAAGTCACTCTCTGGCTGGGCTGCAGACTGCAGTGAGCAGACTACTGTGCTCCCAAAGCAAGGAGAGCTGGCATTTTCCTTCAGCCTGGTTCATCTGCACTTGCCTACAATCACCCCTAAGTAGCCAGAGTGGATTTTAAACCCATCTCAGGCTTTTGAAACCACCCTGCAGTCTGTGCTCTGAGTGTGAATGTTGTGTCTCTGCTCCTTCTCTGATGAGTAGAGAAACCAAGTTCCTGACTTATGGAGGGACAGTGATAGTAGAAATATTTAGGGCTGTAAGTTCTTCCAACAATACAGCAAGCAATGATTAAACAATTATCCTTCACATCCAGATTTCCTCAGGAAAAGCCAAGCAGTTTCATCAGATTTTGCAGCCTGATAACAGCTGCTTCAAAACTGGAGCAGTTTGCTGAAACCTGCTTGAGTGGTCCCCACAAAGTTCCTGTGGGAAACCTGCCAAGAACTCACCCCCTGACACCCTTCAGGCAGCCTCACCTGAGAGGTTTGAACTGATTTGGCTTCCATCAGGAGATGAGAAGGGAAAAAGTAAAAGTTTCTCACAAGGCTTAAGGGAAACAATAAACTACAAGATGTTTTTGCAGCTCCTAGATGGAGCAGAAGTGGAACAGCTCAACACTGTCATTGTGTCCCAGACCAGTTTGACACTTGACCCATGTCAGCTGTAAACTAAATACATATGGGGCACTTTCATGATTTTTAATCCCCATGTTGTTTTTAGAAGAATTTTGTTTAATTTGAAGCTATTATTAAAATAGCAAAACCTACCAGTATTAACCAAGGAACATGACCTTTGGGAAGTGAGGCAGCCTAAAAGATCCTGGTGGGTTATAATGGTGCAGGAAAGTTTAGCTGAGAAGAATCCCAAGAGCATGGATCACTGAATGTGATGAGCAATGGCTCACAATAAATAAGATCAGGCAGATTTGGCCCTCTTGTTTGCAGTCCCATGAGGTTTAGCCACAACTTTTCCTTAATGTCACAACTCAAGTATGAAGAAATACAAAACCTCACAGCTATAGTCACAGGGGTTCTCTCCCTTTGCTGAACAGCCAGAAACTCATCTACCTAAATGGGTGCAGCATCTGAGATGTTTCTGTTTAAAAAAAAATATGAAGCAAGAAATACAGGCCTGAGTTTTCACATCCTTTGCTCACAGGAGCAAAGTGAGGGAGGTCAATAAACAGCTTGAGAGATGGGATTAAACCAAGATTTTGCCCATGGTTTGAAGGAGATCATGAGATGTTGCCCTTCAACTTCCTAACCCATGGTAGATGGGACAGCAAAGATTACAGAGATAAACTAGTGAATTAGTTATACAAAACAGTAATTTAATCCCAGCAGTTGGAGCCAAAGAGACCAGAGAAGGTGAGTGTCTGCAGAAACACCATCACTGAAGACCAGCCCAGGTTCAGGGCTGACCACAGATCCATAATAGAGTCCTTAACATATAAGAAGAAGGAAAATTGTGGCAAAGTGTATTTCTCTTTCTCAGTAAAAGCAGGACCCACAGAAATGGGTTGTAATTGCTAGCTTTTCTCTGAAGTTTAGTCACAGGCTTTGATGGCTTGATCTTCTTTCACTGGCAATAGGGCAGAAAGCTCCCTGCTCAGTCCAGTTTTAAACTGAGCTACTTAAGGGTGCTTGTTCCCTCACCCAGAAGATGAAACACAACTCTTTGGGGGATTGGAGGTGCTGGGATGGTGTTTGTTAGTGCTCAGAGTTAGACTTCTATGTTTTGGGAAAACCTTTCTCTGTGTGCAAATTATCTGGCAATCCAATATGTAGCTAATTCAGACCACATTATCTTTTCCTTTGCTTTTATCTTTAAAAAAGGAGGAGCTGTAGGCAATCTTCTAATGAAAAAACAAACAAACAAACAAACAAAACCACATTGCGAGTGATTGCATCCTAGTTTTGATAAGATCAGTTAGGGTTTGTCTAGAGAAGAAAATTAACCTGGATTGAGAGAGTAGGACTACTACCACAACTATATCTATATAAAGCTGCTTTATAACACTGTTAGTCTAGATTATCAGTGTTATCCACTGAACTACCTTAAATTTAATTCTAAAACTGAGCAAAATGTAAAGGATTCACTTTAATTCTGCAGTAGCGGGGTTGTCTTTGCGGCACACTAGAAGATAAAATTCATCCAGGGATATTTAATCCAGAATAACTTGTTTTTCTGATCACTCTTTGCACTCAGGACTTTCCAGCAAGGACACCTTTTCATTTTCACACACTCCACTCAGGCAGCCACAACTCTGTACAAAGCAATTACTGTAACATCTACAGCCACGGGACCAAATCCAAGCTGTTCCACCTGGCACTTTTATTGAAGGAAAAAGACAATCAAACAAAATCAATCTATGTCTCTGCTTCAGATTTCGTAACAGGGACTGACTTTATGGGATCTTTTCCTGGTAAATCTACAGTAAGAAATAAATTGTAACTTCAGGATCTTAGTGGTGGTACTTGCAAGAGCATGTCCCTTACCCCCGAGGAACTCTTTGAAAAAGGGAAGAGATAACCCCAGAGATCTCTGGTTTACAAAGAGGAGCATGTCCTCTCCCCTATGACCTGAGCTGTGAGTAAATAGTGTCCTAGGGAGTTTGTTACACTCTGTTGAATAAATCCTGCCTCTGGTGCATACTGTAATCCACAAAAACTTCTTTCATGAGCTACCTGCAAACTTTTTACCTTATTTACTCACAGCAGGTTAGTCCTGGTGAACAGAATTGCTCCAGATGGGAAGGAAAGCAGATGGGTGTTTGTGTGCCAGGGAAATAGTCCTGAGACAATTTGTGCCAAATTGTTTATTCTTTTAATGGGGGGGACTGAAACTTCTTTCACCTTTTACCTTGTTTCAACTTTGCTGGAAGCCTCTAGCTGGTGGGATCCAACCCAAAAGTCCAGCCCATCCATCAGCGACAGAGTTAATAATTTTTACACTGAGAGAGAAAAAAAAAAAAATTCCCACTTCCCTTCACCTTCTTTGCATGCAGGTTAAGAAGGCAGGACACCTGAAATTGCTTCTGGCCCAAACCTCCTGCTGCTCTTACAGCACTGGCAGGGGCAGGGAGACACAGGACCTCACTGTGCCTTTGAGGAAAGCTTTTCCTGACCACATTAAAGACAAATTATTCCACCACAGCAGTGAGGCTGGAAAAGGTGATAGTGCAAACCAGTTCTCAACCCCCCACCGACCTCCTGTCCCTTTCCCCCCATGAATTGAACCTTCGAGGCATTGCAAGGTCTGCCGGTGCTCAGGTTCTTCTCCGCTCCCTTCTTCTCCTGCTCCGGCAGCGTCCAGTTCCCCACCCTCCCTCCTCGCCCAGAACAAAAGCAAGGCACCGGATTCAGCTGCTTCACGAGGAAAGCCCAGATCACACACATTTCGATAGAGAGAGATAGATATGATTATATTTCTCTTTGCTGTTTAGGACAAGAAATGAAGTGCTGCCTCTTTAATTGGCAAAAGCATGCAGTAAGAGCATACCTTTAATTTAGTGTTGGGATAGCTCACTTGCACCCTGGCTGTTGTCTTATTGGAGAGGGCAGCCTGCCTCAGATCCTCTAGCACTGAAATAATATCATCCAGCACGCATTTCTTATCCTGATTTCTCAACACACACAGATGGGAAAAAGTATAATTATAGCCTTTGTAGTTCACCTTCATTTCCAGCACGGCTCGGTGGATCTGCAGGATCACATCAGCCTGATGCAAAATATTGCCTCCGGGTTTGGAGAGGAGAATCACCCTGCCATACCTCCCCGGGGTGTGCAAGTCCGAATACAGCTGGCTTTTGGATTGATCGAGGGAGAAAAGGCTGCTGGCTAAGCTCCTCTCGATCTTGGCCAGGCTGTGGCTGGGGGCTACCAGGCTCTCCAGGTCAGTGTCAGGCTGGAAGCGGTTGAGCAGGCTGAAGCCGAAGATGATGGTCAGGACTGCGGGCACAGTGAGGAAAAACACCGGATGCCTGCTCACGAATAAGCCCAGCTTGTAGAAAAACGACTGGAGCCCTCTGTGTATCACCTGCCGCAGCATCCTCCACCAGATCCAGCCTGCAGATGCTCCTGGCCGTCTTAGAAAGCACATGTGACATGTGTAGCTCCTTACCCCTTCCTGCCAGTTTCCCTTTCTCTCTCCCTCTCTCTCTACTACTCCTTTAAAAGACTGCAGCAAGTTGCAGCAAGACAGCCAAATATTGATCAATGGGGTGTGTGTGTGCGTGCGAGTGTGTGTGTGTGTGTGCTGGAGATGGAAGGGACCGGGCAGAGGAGGGAGGAAGGGGGGGGCGGGGGGGGTTCCTTGCCTTTTTTTCCCTCTTTCTCTCCTTTTTTTTTCCCCCCGCTCTCCTCCCTCCCCCAAGCCAGCCAGCACCGCCGCCCCCCTTCCCCTCCCTCCCCTCCCGCCCGGTGCCCCCCTTTCCCCGGCGAGGCTCGGGCGCTGCACCGGGAGCGCCGCCGGCTCCGCAGTGCCCGCTCCGCTCCGCTCCGCGCAGCCCCGCGCAGCCCTGCTGCTCCGGGAGCTGCGGGCAGGGCTGCCGCGTCCCCTCCGCCCCTTCACACACACACACACGCGGAATTCGCCGGGGCCGGAGGATGATGCTGCATTTTAACGTCCCCAGACCCCTCCGCGCCCCTCCCTCTCTCCCCCTCCCCATCCCCGCCGGTTGCCGGAGGAGGGAGAGCTCGGCCCGGAGACTTGGCGATCCGCTTCCCACAGCAGCAGCAGCAGCAGCAGCAGCCGCCGCGCTCCCCTCTCGTCCCGCGGTCCCGCGGCTGCAGCATCCCCGCGCCGCACTCCTCTCTCCATGCCCCGGTCCCGCGGCTGCTGCATCTCCTGGCCGCGCTCCGCTCCCATCCCGCTGTCCCCCCGCATCCCCGTGCTCCGCTCCCATCCCGCTGTCCCCCTGCATCCCTCCCGCCGCGCTCCGCTCCCATCCCGCTGTCCCCCCTCATCCCTCCCGCCGTGCTCCGCTCCCATCCCGCTGTCCCCCCGCATCCCCCGTGCTCCGCTCCCATCCCGCTGTCCCCCCGCATCCCCGTGCTCCGCTCCCATCCCGCTGTCCCCCCGCATCCCCCGTGCTCCGCTCCCATCCCGCTGTCCCCCCGCATCCCCGTGCTCCGCTCCCATCCCGCTGTCCCCCCGCATCCCTCCCGCCGCGCTCCGCTCCCATCCCGCTGTCCCCCCGCATCCCCGTGCTCCGCTCCCATCCCGCTGTCCCCCCGCATCCCTCCCGCCGCGCTCCGCTCCCATCCCGCTGTCCCCCCCATCCCCTCCGCAATCGGCTCTGCCCCATCCGCGCTGTGGCTCTCGGGTGGGGGTACACGCGACACACGGTACACACTGCTTCAGGCAGAGCTCCCAGCCCAAATTTCCCCTTTCGCCCCATTTGCTGCCCGGAGTCGCCCAGGTGGAGCTGGCCCATGCTCCTGTGAGGAACAGGGCAACCCCGGGAAATGCTGGACACAAGGGGAGGAAGGGGAGAGGAGCTGCTCCTTTTGCTGCCCACACTCTGGCACATCTCCCTCGGCCAGCTGCTCTCTCAGCAGTGACCCAAGAGAGGTAGGACACAGCTCCTGACACCCTCCAGCTGAAAAAGAGGTTTTCCAAGCAAAGACACCAGCAGACCATTACATAAGAGTAGGAGAATTCTGCAGCTCCTTCGGACCAAAGGAGAGCAGCAGAGAAATGCATTTGCAGCAGGCAAGCTGCCCACCAACTCTCCAGGCAGCAAGCTCCGCTCCTCTGGGAGCCTAAGCCAGGAGTGCCTGGGAAAGCAGGTCCAGCCCCAGCAGAGCTGACAGCCCCTTGCAGGAAAGGCAGGATGGCTTTGCAGAAGCTTTGTACTTAACTTGTAATTCTAAATCACAGAAGCGTAACGAAAAAGCAAAACACGAAAAATGCAGCTCTCTGCTTGGTGTCTCCCCTTTCACCAAATTTCTGCTGTGTTTTAGTGAGTTTTGTCAAGCAGAAATTTATCTGGAGATGGGACCAAGGACACTGCAAAATCTGAGAGAACAAGGCTCTTCCGTAATAAACCCCTACAGAAAGAAAAAGGTGACTGGAAACTGGGGAGCTCAAAAAATGTTAGTTAGCAGCCTCTGCTGATTCAGTACTAGACAAACAGCAGGCTGCACTCAGCTTGAAGTATTTATCAGTGTTTTGGAGAAGAAACTGCATATTCAGCAGTCCCTTCCATGCTGACACCCCTTCTACACATGCTTCTACTGCTACTAGCAGTTGGACTTGATGACCTTTGAGGTCTTTTCCAACTTAATCATCCTACAGCTCTATGACTCTGTGTGGATAAACAGGAGTGGTGGAGAAGGAGCCAAACTGAGATGGCTTTGGAGGGCCTGTGTTAGGTTGCAAAGGCAGTGATACAGTTTGGGAGCTGGAAGTCTTTCAGAAGCGGGAAAACAACTTCACTTGGTAAAGCTGCCTAATATTTAGGTATTTGATTGGGTGCTGCAAGCACATCATGACTTTCAAATTCAGGCTGTTTTTATTTAGTGGCCTAGATAGAGTTGATCTGCAAATGTTGGTTGGAATTCTTACAGGCAACAAGAAGAGGTTTAGGTGGGAAGTTCTGCAAAAAAGACCCTGTCAGCCATCTATCTGCACATCTTCAGGTACTGCTTTCCTCAATAACCCCAGGAAATGCTAAGCTCCATTGGTACATATTACAGCTCTTTGTCTATTTTATGATGTACTTATGCCACTGGTTGAGTGCTCCTAGAGAATAAAGTCTAAATGCAAAGGCTTTATGGAGCCTTTGTACTTACACACAGAAGGGAGACCTTGAGTGGGAAGCCAGAGCCTGATTCCTAATTTCTACACGTGCAGGCTCGTGACAGCCCTTGACAAAGCATCTTGATCATGTCTCAGCTGTGGGTGGCAGTGATACCTGGGTGCTGTGGGTCTGTAGCCTTTGGATCCTTGGCACCTATTGCTCCTGCGACTGAGATGGTGCTGGGAGCTGGTCGGGCAGGGAGAAACCCGGAATCACTTCTCTTGGTTGCTGTGGCCTTGTCCAGTGGGTCCTTCATAGACCTGAGGAATTCAGGACTTGGCCAGATCATAAAATGACAGAATGGTTTGTGTTCTAAAGGACCTTAAAAACCATCCAGTTCCAACCTCTTGCCATGGGCAGGGACACCTTCCTCTAGATCAGGTTGCTCAAAGTCCCATCCAGCCTGGCCTTGAACTTCCAGGGATAGGGATCCACAGCATCTCTGAACAACTTGATCCATCACCCTCATAGTAAAGAATTCATTCCTAATATCTAATCTAAACATGCACCCTTTTAAGCTTGAAGCCATTCCCCAGTATTTCAGTAATATGTGTACAATTCCACAGTAACTGAGATGATTCAGGAGTGACCTCAGGAACAGCTCAGGAACACAGCACAGACTGACTGAACCACGCTGGGACAGGCATGTCCCTCTAGTGCCTGAATAAGATATGGCAAAGGATGGTTTTTTTACTGCAGCTTCTCGAGGTCTTGGACCATACTAGGACAACACCAGGACAGCAAGGGCCAGGATGCTGCAGTGGAGCATTCCAGCATGGCATGGCTGAAACACAGAGCTGACAGAGGGGACAAAGAAAACTGTGCAGTGACAGGTGGGACTGTGCTGCTTCCTTCCTGAGCAGGAAGATATAGAATAGTGCCAAAGGGCACTGCCAGCTGGTCCTGCCTGTCCCTGGGAGCACACAGTAACAACGTGTAATCTGGCATTAGTGCCCCTAAAACTGGCTTAATTTTTAGATACTGGAATGGGTGCTGCAAGCACTTTGTGCCTTTCAAATTCAGGCTGGTTTTAAGCCCAGATACTGCTGATCTGGAGGTGCCTGCAAGTGTTACCCCGCAGGTAACATGGATGATAAAGTGAGCAGTGCATTATATTGGTCATCCCAATTGGCAAAATCCATGGAGGATCTAAAAAGTCAGCTTGAAGTACGTCTCAGAAACAAGCAGGGCATCAGCACCTTTTCTGAGAACAGTGCTGGGATATGCTGATATTTATATCCTCCCTGGTGTCATCCAATGAATCCTCTTTAAAGTGGAATAACAGACATGTCAGGGATGTTAGCTGGGGGAGCTGAGTGATGGTTCACAGAGTCTGGAGCTCAGAGAAACAGCAAACCACAGAGAGAAATTAAAAACACTCCAAAATATTTGAGACTATTCAGCTTGTAAAAAGTGCAGGTCTGTCTGAGGAAAATAATTGAAGTTGCCTATTCTGAGAAAGGAGACAACTTTGGAAACAAATGATTCAGTACAAAGACAATAATGGGATTACAGCATAAGACAAAGTAGACATGGTTTTGGAAAAAGCTTTAGAAAAGAGCAGAAAGACAAAGAAAACCAAATTTACTTGCAGGGTAACATATAGTAAGGAGGACTGAACAGTCCCTCTGACTCTGATGAGGCAGTGCTGGTGGACTGTGTTCAGATCAAATTGCTACTGAGACTCAATAGTTTAAATAAGAATTATCAACAGTCTTGAGGGGTTGGCATAGGTGCACTTATTTGGTGCTGTAAAAAGGTATATTGGGTGCCTGGAAGCCAGATTGCCATATGGAGATTCAAAAAAGAGTAAAGGCACAAAAGGTCCTATTGAAATAGTGATTTTAAGTTGCTATGGTTTAATCACTGGGTGGATATAGTAAAAATTAATGGTATAAAAAGACATTAAATAGTGAAAAAATAATGCAGAGGGATAATTCAGAATAGCAACAGAGGCTGTGTACATTAGAGCAAGTAAAACAAACTTCAGACCAAC